AATCCACGTAATGAAATGACTATAAATACGTGTTTCTATGTGCTACCTACATGTTTATATTGAAAAGAAAAAAATCAATATTTTAAATCTTACACAAGGTACACCATTACTGTTAGATAATATATTTGTTCCGGTTCAATGAATAAGCACTTTTCTGTAAAGATGCACTTCAAACGAGTCAGAACATGTTTATAAATAATATAACAAAAGTGAAATATAAATGATTTGCATAATATATAAGTGATAAATTTGCTGTTAAGAATACGAGGCAAGTATATACTGATTATAATGAGGATATTTTGTCTATAGAGGTTCATCGACAGATCATATCGTGTTTTGCTGGTTTTCAGTTGTGAAGTATTGATTCAGTGATACATCAACAATCTTTTCCTTTATTCAATTTTCGTTGTTTATTATTAGATATACCGATATATCGGTAGTCTTTAATAGATTAAACAATAAACTCGAACAAACAACCCATCAGAATTATGTGCAAATTCGAGAATAGAATATTACAATTCAGAAAGGTCAAATTGTCATTTGCTAATGACGAAAAACTTTCAATATTTGATAGTATCAATTTTGAGACAAAGAATTTTGTATGTGTTTGATTTTTGTTTCAATATAATTACCATTAAAATAGTAGAACAATATTATGATATATAACCTTAAACGTTACAATGCAATTGCTATTGTTTACTAATCTAGATTGGTTCAAATGGAATAATACTTCATATGTCACTTTCTAGCTCGGTGTTTTCTTAGAATCTTTAGAAATTTTTCTAGAGATTTTTCAGTAAACATATTTAACATGGATACGTGTTTCGTGATAAAAAATAACTATCGAATCTTTGCCGACAAACTTTTGTTTATTTTCACATTTCTTTCTAATTAATGTCATTACGAATAATAAAAACTTCTATATTAATTTCGAAAAAACTATAGTCCTTCGGTCTCAAACTAAAGTGAAAATTTTTATTTATTTTTAGTTTTGACTCTTTTGTATAGTTTTGTACGCAATCAAAAATATTTATTACATATTATGACTATGGGCATTTAAACTCCACGATATGTTAGAATAACCTCAGAATGAAAAGAGTCACTGACTCAGAAACGGGAATAACACATCATTTCAACGATCCGTGACATTTGCTTCATCTTGATTTTTGAATAACGTGTGACATGTTTTTTATATTTTTCTTGTTTGAATATTTACCTATACATAGTAGCTGTCATTTACGAAAAGCAATTTAATTACCTGCTCTTAGTCAGGTAGTTATAAAAGACATTAAGATTGATTCACAAAATCAAGATTCATCAATGAGGCGTTAAGCACGGCAAATACCAGTTGATATGGATAAAAAAAGATACTCTCTCACAGATGCTGAACCAATTTTTCACTCATTCTACATCGTCGAAGAAACCTGTAGATCATATAAAGAATGCAAAGAATCAAGGAGCATTCGAGAAAAAATGAATAAGATGGAGATGAAGATAATAATATTGATGTAAAAGACGATAAAATTAAATTACTTTTATCAAACAAAATTATTATGTACAGCATTTGTTAATTTAATGATGAGGGTTCTTAATAGAGATTCATGATATTACTTTTCTGTATAAATTCGTTGTCACCTATATGAAAGACAGACACCTGATAGGTAACATAATTTGTGGTCAATCCACTAAGAATGTAATCAGACAAAAATATACAAATAATTTGTTGAAACATTGAGTGATCAGTATCAACATGGTGAGTTTTTATATATAAGAATCAGTGAAAAATTCAAATTTGATCAACAAAAAGAAGATTTTTATCACGTGAAGAATTAAGTTTCATTCATATAAAGATTAGTCAAGTGAAAAAAAATGAATTTACATAAATTAAAAACAAATCATAGAATAAATAAGAAGAAATCTACTAGAATATAAAATTGTGTTTTCTTTCTCATAGGTTAACACTGTCTTTGCTACTTCTGACGATTTGTAGTATTTCAAATGAATAGTTTTATCAACAACATGTTTTCAAATATAATTCTTAAAAAAAAAACTGCATAGTCTTATTTTGAGTTTATCGAATCAGAATCATTCATCAATTCTATGCAACGAATATCAAGTGGTTTTTTGAATTGATTCAAAGTTGTCTACTCGTAGTTTTTATATTTTCTTGAATCATTTTGTGCAATTAACTGTAAATCACGAGCTCGTATATAACATGGCTTTGAACAATCATTTGAAATACATATTAGATATATTTTGTTGAATTAGTTCATTTATGTAACAAGTCGATAATTGTGAAGATATTGGTCGACCTTCATGGATTATTGTATTTTTTTTGCGTTAATCGATGAAGGTTTTTGTTGAATCGACTAGTTATTGACAATGTTTATCGCTTTTGTAAAAATTCTTAGAAAAAAAAAACATGACTTTCTCTAAACGTTCAATTATCGTTAATTGCTGTATTTGTTGAATCTAAAATATTCGCTTGTACTTGATGCATACAGTTATATAGCTTCATATCAACGATCATCTACTTAGGGCATACCGAATGTAGTGGCACTAGCACTAATAAATCTTATAAAAAGTTCGAAAAAATTTACTTACCACATATACTGATATCGAGAATCGAGTTCTATATTTTCTACAATATTGCATCATTCTTAAGATGACATCATTATAGGAAAGTTTTGATGTGTTAAAGTTTGTCGTTAATGTCTTTTTTTAAAATTTTGCTTCTTTAGAATAAAACGACAAGTAGCTATACGTATGTAGAAAAAAAAACAAACAAGGCACGTGTTTTTACACCTATAAAGACAAATGATTGTCAGACATAACAAACAAGACAAGAAGAAGAAATCAAACGAAGATCACAGAAAAAACAAAATGCGTATAACAAGGAGATTTTTTCAAGTGATATATCATTTTAGAGTTCAAACTTGATGTATAAGGTAGACCCTAGTGAGAAATGAAAAGGTGTACTTCAATAAATTGATTGACGATATTTCAACTTGAAATTCCGCCCACATAGAAATTCAGTTCCAAGTAGCATATCCTGATAAATTTCAGCTCGAAAGAATTGTTTCTTCGCAAGATATGATTGGTTTTTGGAACTTCACTGTCAAACATTCTTAAAAAGAAAAATTATTTTCAATTAACAGAAAATTTTAACACATCAAAACATTAATATTTATAATATTGCTTGACGAATGCTGAAATATTTTAGAGTCATAGCGCACAATTCGATCAATCAATTTATGTAAAAAGAAAATATTCTCGAGCCTTCTACAAGATTTTATAGTGTTGTCGCTACCACTTTTGGTTTGTCCTAAATAACTTGAATGAGCCATTATTAAAATAATCTAAAAACTGTAATATTTATTTACTTTATTGATTGTTGTCCATGTTTCATTTTTTCATAAATACCGTGGATACTTATTGGCAAATACATCTGTAAAATTGAATAAATGAAATATCTCAATACTTTCTATTATTTCTTTATTACAATATATGTATCATCTATTTGAACCATATTATAACACATTTTGATTTTTATAGTTACCCTTTTATTTCATTT